TTCAAAATAAAATAAATCTTTTTTAAAAATTTAAAAAATAAATATTATCCACTTTAGTTAGAAGCCATATCTGAACGATGCTAGACCTTGTTTCCATGCCACAGTGATCAACCGAGTCACAGCTGTCCTCATTCGGTGGAGCATGGCCTCTCCAGGCATGACACCTGGCTCCCTCTTTTGCTTTCCCCCCTGACTCTCCAGAGCATCTGCCATGCACCTCCAGACACAGGAAGACACACAGCATGGTGGACCTAGGGTGGTAGATGGGCCAGATACCATCCTTCATCTTCATTCAGCCAGATCCAACAGAAAACCTGCATATGGTGCCATCGCCCCCCACTAGGGCCTCGGTGTCTTCTTCCTTAAACCAATGAAGATGCACAGGAGTTAAAACTAAGTTATGTCGTGAAATGCCAACAAAGTCAAAAGCTCAGAGTCTACACACGATTCCTCACCTTGTCGTGAGCTTTATGATTGATGATTGCTCTTAAAAATATATGCTTTGAACGATGCAATCACTCACCAGATATGCTTATCCTTATCTTGTGATGCTAACAGGGTGCTAGAAGCAAGAGGATAGTGAGTCCAAGGCCAGTCTGGTTATGTAGTGAGACCACCCAAATAGACAAGAAAAAACATTCTTTTTCTCCATTTTATTTAGTGTGTGTGTGTTTAGTGCGTGCATGGCTTGCATAACAAAATCAAAGGACAAGTTGCATGAGTCAATTCTCTTTTTCCTACCATATGGATCCTGGGGATTGGATTCAGGTCCTCGGGCCTGTTAGCAAGCACATTTACCCACGAAGCCACCTCTCCCTTCTTTAATGGCAGGACTCCCGACCCAAAGAGCATTAGGGGTTCACCAGTGGCACCTCAAACCCCCTGCCTTTTCCTGCCTGTCTTCAGTCCCCCTACTCTTTTGTTTCTGAAAACAACTCACACAGCTTTTTTTTTTTTTTTTAAAGTCTTCAATTGCTGGGGTGTATCAAATGTCTATACCCCAAGTGGCCTTCTCCTGTCTGAACACTCACTACTTTCTTCCTTCCCACTTTGTCCAAATATAGAATTCCACAATGGTAGGCAGCCCAGAGACCATATTTCCTACTGCTATTGTCTTTCTTAACAATTGTATTTATTTGTTTTATGTAAATGGGTGCTTTTGCTTGTATATCTGTCTATGTGCCGTGTGTGTGTGTGTGTGTGTGTGTGTGTGTGTGTGTGTGTGTGTGACCTCATGCTTGCAGATGCCAGAAGAGAGTACTGGATCCCCTAGAACTAAAGTTACAGAATGTTGTGAGTTGTCATGAGGGTGCTGGGAACTGAACTCAGGACATCTGGAAGAACCTGTGTTCTTAACTGCTGAGCCATTTCTCTAACCCCACTACTGTCTGTCTTAGAAAACCCACCCATTGGTCCTTCAGTAAACCTCAACCTCAGTCTGTTGCTCTGCCATCCCTGCCCTCTTCTAGTCCCCCAAACCTGCCACAAAGGGGCTCCTGACTCAGGATTGGCACTTTCAAAAACAGCATGTCTAACTCATTAAGCACATATCTACAGTTACCTGACTCTCTTCTCTGTTGCTTTTCATGTATGTGTGTGTATGTGTGTCTGTGGTTTGATTTTCTTTACTCTTTTACTCTTTTGGCCTTTTGAGGGCCCTTTGTTCTTTTGGAGGATCCACCACCTAGCTCCCAAATAAAACACATACACACACACACACACACACAGAGAGAGAGAGAGAGAGAGAGAGAGAGAGAGAGAGAGAGAGAGAGAGAGAGAGTTCTTATCAATGCCCAGGCTTAGTTTGGCTTGTTTCTAGCCAGCTTTTCTTAACTTAAAAATTATTCCATCCACCTTTTTTGGCTTTTTCCTTTTCTTACTTCTGTATATCTTACTTTCACTCTTTGTTGTGGCTGTGTAGCTGGGTGGCTGGCCCCTGATGTTCTCCTTTCTTTGTTCTATCTTACGTCTTCTTCTCTTTCCCAGATTTCTCCTCCTATTTATTTTCTCTGCCTGCCAGCTCTGCCTAACCTTTCTCCTGCCTTGCTATTGGCCATTTAGCTCTTTATTAGACCATCAGGTGTTTTAGACAGGCATAGAATCACAGCTTCATAAAGTTAAAAAAAAATGTAGCAACACATCTTTACATCATTAAACAAATATTCCAGAGCATAAACAAATGTAATACACCTTAATATAATATTCTGTAATGTCTGTGTCTGTGTACCAGTGAACAACCTTGGATACTATTCCTCCAGTGTTGTCCACCTTTTTTATTTGAGAGGAGGTCTCTTGTTGACATGGAACTCCCCAAGTAGGCTAGATTCTCTGGCCACACAGTGCCAAAGACCCTCCTGTCATTTCCTTCTGGGCTGGGGTGATAAAAACTTGGCTATCATACCAGCTTCTCCTCCTTCTCCTCCTCTTTCTTCTTTTTCTTCTGTTTTCCCTGGATATCAACCATGTTGTGGGGGACCAAAATATTTCCACTATGGAATATTTTGAGATCCAGCCTTTGGTCTCACTAAACATGGAGCACCAGAAAGCTCCGACCCACTATTGTATTGTTAATGCCAGTAAGGCTACTATTGTTTACCATGGCCTCAGGGTAATATGCCTCCTAATTTGCATCTCTATGCACCTAAGCATCTGTGAATAGGCCCTCACCTGGACAGGGAGAGCAGAGGTGTGTGAGGACAGAAGGTTAGGAGTTAGGGGCAAGCGACCAGAGCAGAGAGAACAAAGAGAGATGGTTCCCTCGTGGTCATGACAGGATGGTTAAGAAACAGCAGAAAAGATGGCTAATAAAGAAATGACTCTAGTTCTACAACATGGAACTGAGAGCTCTCTAAAAATGACAAGATGCCTGTGTTTGGTCTTTATCGCCGATGGGTTGCTAGGAGCTTCCAGATCCACACACACCCCCCCCTCACTCAGTCAGAACCTCATGGATTAAGGCTGAGACATGCTGGGTCACGACACCATGTGACCCAAATGGAGCTGCTAGGATCCAATGCTTTGTCAGTCAGTGGTCTCCATCCCCATCCATAGCGATGGATCATCTGAAGAGGCAAGTTCCTGACTAGGAATAACAGACGGATACCTTGAGTCAAAAAGGTGTCTTTCTTCTTGGATTATGACCCTTAAAGATGACACCACTATTTTCCTGGCCACATCTGAGGTACTGTGGCAAAGCTCACAAAGGAAAGCCATGCTAAGACATGAGAAAGACAGTGTTGACACTTGGTGATAAAAATGTGTAGCACCAACAACAATCCCATGAATTTTATAATCATCTACCAATAAATTCTATTTGTCCTTAAGCTGACTTGAATTGGAGTTTTGTTACTTATCATCAAGAAGCCTCTTTTAGCCAAGAAAGAGGTCCGTGCTATAGGGAAAGCCTAAGCCTCTGGGAGCAGCAGTGGCTTCCAGCAATAGCATCTATTGGGTTATGTTGAGTTTTGTGGTTCATGTTTCATTGCCTGCAGCTGAAGCAAACAACAACAGGGACAGGCCAGCAAAATGCCTGAATCCTTACAGACATAACAACAGACAGTGAGGAAATCTATAGAATCATCAGGTCATACTTCAAAACTTGTACTCCACAAAATTGGAGACTTTAAAGGAAATGAACAATTTTCTGGGTAAGTACCACATATCAAAATTAAATCAAGAACAAATAAACAATTTAAATAGACCTATAACCCCCAAGGAAATAGAAATGGTCATCAAAAGGCTCCCAACCAAAAAAAGCCCAGGATAGCCAAAACAACCCTGCACAAAAAAGGAACATCTGGAGGCATCACCATCCCTGGCTTCAAGCTCTACTATAGAGCTATAGTAATAAAAACAGCTTGGTATTGACATAAAAACAGACAAGTTGACCAATGGAATTGTATCAAAGACCCTGATATTAACCCACACACCTATGAATACCTGATTTTTGACAAAGAAGATAAAAATGTAAAATGGAAAAGACGGCATCTTCAACAAATGGTGCTGGTATAACTGTAGAAGATTACAGATTGATCCATATTTATCACCATGCACAAAACTGAAGTCCAAATGGATCAAAGACCTCAATATAAATCCATCCACAGTGAATCTCCTAGAGGAGAAAGTGGGAAGCACCCTTGAAGGCATTAGTACAGGAGACCACTTCCTAGATAAAATATCAAGAGCACAGACACTGAGGGCAACAATTAATAAATGGGACTGTAAGACCCTCGAAATGCTGAGGCTTCCAGGATCTTAGTCCAGGACTTCAGCCACCCCAATCACAGAATGGAGGCGAAAGCTTGATGCAAATTGCACGAGGCTTTATTGTAGTTTAACGAGCTAACCCCATGTTAGCTTGAGTCTTTGACCCACCCACCATGGCGGATGGCTAGCAAAGACAATTCGAAGCCGCTGCGTACAGATCTTTATAGGGCAGCATAAGGGGAGTGTCTAGGGGTATGCACAGGCTCAGGATTGGCGTGCCTCCAGGCTTGGAGGGTTTGCCCTGTGTTGATTGGTCAACTGGTTGTTATGGCCCATAGGCCCTCCCAGGGAGGTTGCTATGCTTTGTGCGTCATTGCTGTGAGCTTGTCCATAAAGCACACCCAGGGTCATAAAGCATAGCGCCACCAGCTAACTTCTGATTGGCTCCTTGTCACGAGGCAGGCATCTGACTTTCTAGTGACTAAGACAAGGTCATAGAGCACGTGTTTGGTCGTTATGGCTGCCAAAAGGGAAGCTGGTCCCTTCAGGACCCCTGAAACTAAGAAGCTTCTGTAAAACAAAGGACATGCTCAGCAAGACAAAATGGCAGCCTGCAGAATGGGAAAAGATCTTCACCAACCACACATCTGACAGAGGGCTGATCTCCAAAATATACAAAGAAATCAAGAAACTAGCCACCAAACCACCAAATAATCCAATTTAAAAATGGGATACAGACCTAAACAAAGAATTCTCAACAAAAGAATCTCAAATGGCCGAAAGACACTTAAGGAAATGCTCAACATCCTTAGTTATCAGAGAAATGCAAATCAAAACAACTCTGAGATACCATTTTACACCAATCAGAATGGCTAAGATAAAAAACACTGAAGACATTATGCTGGAGAGGATGTAGAATAAAAGGAACTCTCCTCCTTTGCTAGTGAGAGTACAAACTTGTACAGCTGCTGTGGAAGTCAGTATGACAATTTCTCAGAAAATTGGGCATCAAACTACCCCAAGACCCTGCAATACCACTTTTGAGCATATACCCAAAGGAGGCACACTCACACCACAAGGATATTTGCTCAACTATGTTCATAGCAGCATTATTCATAATAGCCAGAACTTGGAAACAACCTAGATGCCCCTCAA